CATCTGTTCTGTCGACAAGCGTTTGAACTACCATTATTGTACACTATTTTACTTAGTATGCATAGAAATGATAATTATGCAAATGTTTAGGGATATATGAATATTCAATAATTAAAAGACCAGATTTGCACTTGTAAGATACCATTTTTACAAAACTTATGAACTTTCTTTTGTGTTTTGTCTTTTGTAAAAATGGTATCTAACAACAACAAGTGTAGTTTTAACTTCTTTGATAGGCATTTAGAAGTTGGAGTACTAAGTAAGGATAAGAATATATGCATGAACAACTTCTTTATTACAATTAAGAGCGACGTTTCGGTGTAGGTTCTAACACCATTATCAAGCAAGTGATATACAGAGTCTGACTGACTGATATAGGAGATTTAACGTGCGCTTTCCGACTGCAGCGTATTTCGCACACGGGCCTGGCCAGACCATTTAGTGTATTCCGAGAAGGGTGAAAGTGGTGTGTGCAACACAAGAGGGGGCTTTTAGGGGTTGCTTATATTGAATTTTGGGAATTTTTAAATTTGGAATGAATGCCAAGGTGGGTGGAGGAGGGAACTAAGGGAGCCGGGTGAGGTGGGTGTTTGTATGTTTATTGGATTTTGGATTGGTAGATTAATTAGTTTTTAGATGCGCTTAATTAGGTCTGTTTTGATTAGGAATACGCCTAGGGCCTTGAAGTTTTCTAGTTTATATTGAGGGTTTAGTATTTCATCTAGAGTGGGAACCTTATTTAGATTGAGGTCGGTTTGTAGTGTGGTTCTGTGTGTTTGGTAGTGGGTGCAGTGGATGAGTGCGTGTTCTGTGGTTTCGGGTTGTTTGCAGTGGGGGCAGTTGCCTGTGGTGTGTCTTTTAAGTTTTTTTTAGGTGGTTGTTTAGGTTCGTGTGTCCTGTTTGGAGTTTTGTAATTAATCTGTCAATTTTTATAGAGGGGTGTAGGATTTTAGGTTTGGCAAGTGGTTTTCTTAGCACTTTTTTGATTTGGCTATTTGAGTTTTGATATTGATTATGCCATTTTTTGGTTATTTTTTGTTTGTTTACACTTTTAATTTCTGATTTTGAGATGGGTAAGTTTAGGCTTATTTCTGGTGTTTTGAGAGATAATTTAGCTGCTTTATCTGTGCTTTTGTTGCCGTAAATTCCTACATGGGCGGGGATCCACAAGAAGGTTATTTGTTTGCCTGCTTTTGTTAGGTCGTTGGAGCTTTTAAGTATTTGGTTTATTAATTTAGGTCGTTTTTTAATATTTTTGTTTTGGAGGGCTTGTAGTCCACTAAGGGAGTCGGTGAGAATTAGGATTTTATTGTTGTTTTTAGATTGTTGGTTATGCAGGGCTGAGGCCATGCCCATCAGTTTGGCCGTAAATATAGATTGGTTGTTAGGGAGTCGGTAAGATTGTGTGGATATAACTGGTTGTGTGGTATGGACTCCGAAGCCTGTGTGGTTGGAGATCGGGTCTGAAGATCCGTCAGTGTATATGTGACACCAATTTGGCCAATTTTCGTGTATGTATGCAAGTGTGGTGGTTTTAGCTACCGGGTATGTTTGGGTCGGTTTGTTTATTTATTTGGTTAGCTAGCGTTGTGTCTATTTTGGGTACATGTATTTTGAGTTTAGGGGTGAAGATATTTGATTTTTTGCAGTTTTGTTTAAGATTTTGAGTTTGGTGTTCATTGAGGTAGTTAGTTTTTCTTTGGAATATTGGGGTGAGTAAGGGGTGTTTGCGAGCTAGAGCTTGGTTTCTTGGGCTAATGTTTTGGTTAATTAAGTTTTGGATGAGAGGGTTTGTTTGGGACACGGCCCAGAAATTAAGGCTTAGATGTTCCCTGCGTAGATTTAGTGGCATTTCCCCTGTAAGGGCCTGAAGTGAGGTGTAGGAGGTGCCATGTTGGGTGCGTGTAATTAGTTTAAGGGCTTGGTATTGTATTGAGTCAAGTTTATTAGATAGAGAGTTGTTTAGGGTATTGTATATGGCGCAGCCGTAGTCTAGTTTTGATCTAATTAGTGCTGTAAAGAGTGAGAGGAGGGTATCTTTGGAGGCTCACCAGTTAGAGCCGGTGAGACATCTTAGTGTGTTAAGGTCTTTGCTGCATCTAGTTTTTAGGTTTTGGACGTGAGCCTCCCAGGTGAGGTGTTGATCGAAAATGAGTCCTAAGAATTTGGTTTGTTTTTGGAATTTGATTGTTTGGTTGTTTAGCTGGAGGATTGGGTAGGCAGGTTTCATGTTTTTATGTTTGAACACTACTCCTGTTGTTTTATCTGAGTTAAGGGAGAAGCCCCATTTGTCTGCCCATTGTTGTATTTTATTTAGAGATTTTTGGATTAAGTTTTCTGCCATTTTAATGCTTTTAGTGCGGATCCATAGGGCTCCGTCATCCGCGAATTTTGAAGTGTTTAGTTTAGGGGATAAGCCCTCGAAGAGATCGTTTATCATGATATTGAAGAGGGTTGGGCTGAGGATGCTGCCCTGGGGAGTGTTATTTACTAGGGGACACTGGTCCGATAGCGTATGGTCTATACCCACGGTTATTTTGCGATTGTTTAGGAAATCTTGGATGAAGTTTATTATTTGTCCTTTTAGTCCTATTTTTTAAAGTTTTTGTATTAGCCCATGGTACCATACCATATCGAAAGCTTTAGAGCAGTCGAGGAATATGCCTATGGTGTATTTCTTGTTTAGCTGTCCTGTTTTTATATCCTGTTCTAGTCGGGCGAGGTTATCGAGAGTTGATCGGCCAGGAGTGAAGCCGCTTTGGTAGGGGTTTATGATGTTGTTTTGGTCTAGGTAGTGCTGTAGCCTATTTTTAGTCATAAGTTCCATTATTTTGCGGAGATTTGAGGTTAGGGAGATGGGCCTATAGGAGTTAGCCTGATCTGCTGGTTTATTTGGTTTAGGTATTGGTATTGCTAGAGCTTCCTTCCATGAGGATGGGACCTGTCCATTTAGGTAGACTAGGTTGTATAGTTTAAGTAAAGTTTGGAGTAGTTTGGTAGGTAAGTGTTTGATTATTTGGTAAGAGGTGAGGTCTAGGCCAGGGGCTGTTCCTTTTTTTCTATTGTTTAGTACGTGATTTAGTTCTTCTATGGTGTAAGGTTGGTTTATTTCTAGGTTGTCTTGTCTGTTTTCTTTGGAGAATTTGGTTTCTTTTTTTAGTTTATCTTGGAATTTCTTACTGAAGTTACTGTTGCTACTAACTTTAGAGAAGTGTTTGGCTAGGTTGTTGGCCTTTTGGGTGGGGTTAGTTGAGTTGTTTATATTGGGGCTTTTTTTGTGCTGTTTGATGCCTCTGATGGCGTGAATTTTGCTCCACACCTTCCTAGCGTCGGTGTGGTGGTTTAGCTCCTCACAGAATTTTTTCCAGTTTTTGGTTTTAGCAGTTTTAACTAGGTTTTGGACTTGGTGGTTAAGTTCATGGGCTGTTTTGAGATGGGAGGGGTCTCGTTTAGCTCTGTTGAAAGCTGATTTGCGTTTTAGTCTAGTTAGCTGTATTTCCTCATTCCACCAAGGGACAGTGGGTTTTCCTGGGTTGGATGATTTGAAGGGGATTGCGGATTTGGCTGCGTTGATTATGAAGTTAGTTAGGTTTTGACAGAATGTTTCGGGGTCTTTTGTTTCTAAATCGTTTAGATTAGCTTGGTTGCATAATTCTTGGAATTTGTCCCAGTTGGCGTTTTTGTACTGAAATTTAGGTTCCTGTTTAGGGGTTTGATTTGGTATTTTTAGATTTCCTAGGGTTATATTTATGGGAAAGTGGTCGCTGCCTAGAGGTACTGGGTGGACATCCCACATCAGACTTTGTGCTAAGTCTGGCGTACATATTGTTAAGTCGATAGCCGACATGGTGTGGTGGATTTTGTCGTATCTAGTTGGTTGGTTATTGTTTAATAGTATTAGGTCATTTTTTTCGATCCACTCTGATATTAGTTGTCCATGGTTGTCTAGTTTATCTGCAATGCCCCAGGTAGGATGATGGGCATTGAAGTCTCCTAGGAAGATGGTTGATTTATTTCCTAATTGGTAAAGGATATCTAGGTCTGTATCTCTAATTGGTTTAAGTGTTGAGTGATAGATGTTAATGATTTTTATATTTTGGTTATTGATGGTGACTTGGATATTCCATTAGCTTCTAGATTGGGAGTGTTTACTTTAACTTCCTCGTAGTTAATATCCTCTCTAACGTAGATGATTAGACCTCCTCCTGTTCTGCCTGGGATGGTTTTGGACCTGTCGGTTCTTACTGCGTTATAATTTGGTAGGTTGAATTTAGTACTTTTTATGTGAGAATTTGGTTTCTTGAATACAGGCTACATGGGGACCTTTATCTATTTTGAATTTAGCTTTAAGTTCAGATTGGCATTCCATTGAAAAATGTTTAGGCCTTCCATTGGGAAACTGGGTGGATTTATGTTTGGTTAAGGCTTGGTTTAGGTTTTTACTTTAGTAGGTCATTAAGGTTGCTGAGTGTGGTTGACAAGTATATATACAAGTAGGAGGCAATGTTTATGCAGTAGAGTAGATATTGTTATACTGGAGTAGAGAAGCCTGTTATGTACACACAAGGGTAGTGATGACAATCATCAGTGAAGTCAGTGACATAAACAAAGGAGGAAGCCAGTAATATAAACAACAGGATTATGGCTGATTGGGGTCTTTCATGAATTGATGGCACACCGGAACGGGTACTGGGTGTAATAGCCTAGCTTGGTCACGGTTGATTGACGACTGGAGTCTTTTGATGTTGATGGCTTCTTGTAGTTTCCTGATCTTGAAGTCTTTGAGGTTGGTGATGGTGTTAGAACCTACACCGAAATGTCGCTCTTAATTGTAGAAGTTGTTCATCCATAAATTCTTATCCTTACTAAGTGTAGTATTCTCTATGTATTACAAAACAGCCATTGTTTATTACACCATGAGATGAAAATGAATGTGTTCATTTATTCAAATTGGTAATAGATGATTAGGAGATTAGTAATACAATTGTTTTCTTCTTCAGGTTTTTAATAGAAGAAATGGTTAACAAACATGCAGAAATTGATGGATTATCAGAATCTTTCACTGCAAGACGAGGTGATGGAATACGATTGAATCCTGACTCTCAGAAGTCCACCGCGTCTGGTCGCTGTAGCTGCTGACGTTTTCTTGGTCATTGCTACCTGTTCAAATGAAAGTTCTGATTTCTGTGTATTTCGCGTGTTTCTGCTCACCAGGACCAAAGGTCGAAGTGAGGTAATGGCAGGCTCTCTGAGGCTGTAATTATGTATAGTGTGATTACATGTGTAATTGACAAATCATTTACATGTTCCTTATTAGGCAAAGCACCAATAAAAAATCAACAGCTAAGTGAGTGGCACATGGTCACTGAATTGCTCACAATATATTGCAATACACTAGGGTGATAATATTACATTCAAAGTTAAAAAGCAACAAAGTGCCGCTCTGGCCTCAAGTTTGTTAAGTCACTGCTTGGATATTGTGAGTGGCGATGATGTAAACAGGAAGTGCCACTATGTCTTGACTGATGTCTACATACGATGATTTATTTGTCAATAAAGATTACCAATACAATTGGATTGAAGGGTAAATACATAATTGGTTGAACAATTGGTTCAGATTGCACTGTATCTTTACCAAGATGTTGGATGTGTAGGGAAAGGTACTGTGTATACATACAACTAGAAGTGATCATCGCTATGTGAGATGTTGGATGTGTGAGGAAAGGTACTGGGTATACATACAACTAGAAGTGATCATCGCTATGTGAGATGTTGGATGTGTGAGGAAAGGTACTGGGTATACATACAACTAGAAGTGATCATCGCTATGTGAGATGTTGGATGTGTGAGGAAAGGTACTAGGTATACATACAACTAGAAGTGATCATCGCTATGTGAGATGTTGGATGTGTGAGGAAAGGTACTAGGTATACATACAACTAGAAGTGATCATCGCTATGTGAGATGTTGGATGTGTGAGGAAAGGTACTGGGTATACATACAACTAGAAGTGATCATCGCTATGTGAGATGTTGGATGTGTGAGGAAAGGTACTGGGTATACATACAACTAGAAGTGATCATCGCTATGTGAGATGTTGGATGTGTGAGGAAAGGTACTAGGTATACATACAACTAGAAGTGATCATCGCTATGTGAGATGTTGGATGTGTGAGGAAAGGTACTAAGTATACATACAACTAGAAGTGATCATCACTATGTGAGATGTTGGATGTGTGAGGAAAGGTACTGGGTATACATACAACTAGAAGTGATCATCGCTATGTGAGATGTTGGATGTGTGAGGAAAGGTACTGGGTATACATACAACTAGAAGTGATCATCGCTATGTGAGATGTTGGATGTGTGAGGAAAGGTACTGGGTATACATACAACTAGAAGTGATCATCGCTATGTGAGATGTTGGATGTGTGAGGAAAGGTACTAGGTATACATACAACTAGAAGTGATCATCGCTATGTGAGATGTTGGATGTGTGAGGAAAGGTACTAGGTATACATACAACTAGAAGTGATCATCGCTATGTGAGATGTTGGATGTGTGAGGAAAGGTACTGGGTATACATACAACTAGAAGTGATCATCGCTATGTGAGATGTTGGATGTGTGAGGAAAGGTACTGGGTATACATACAACTAGAAGTGATCATCGCTATGTGAGATGTTGGATGTGTGAGGAAAGGTACTGGGTATACATACAACTAGAAGTGATCATCGCTATGTGAGATGTTGGATGTGTGAGGAAAGGTACTGGGTATACATACAACCAGAAGTGATCATCGCTATGTGAGATGTTGGATGTGTGAGGAAAGGTACTAGGTATACATACAACTAGAAGTGATCATCGCTATGTGAGATGTTGGATGTGTGAGGAAAGGTACTGGGTATACATACAACTAGAAGTGATCATCGCTATGTGAGATGTTGGATGTGTGAGGAAAGGTACTAGGTATACATACAACTAGAAGTGATCATCGCTATGTGAGATGTTGGATGTGTGAGGAAAGGTACTAGGTATACATACAACTGGAAGTGCTCAGAGACCTGCATCACTTTGGGCTTTCCTCCCACATTAAGCTGACTTGCCGTGATATATTTGGAATACTGTTCAAAGCTGTGTTAAACCCAACTCACTCACTCACTCACGAAAGGCAAGGTTTTTCTTGATCTTCAATGTTTTGAATGTAAGAAACGATAACCATATTTGAACTGTCATATGATATAGATAATAAAATTGTATTTTAGTTCTCTTATGTCTTTAATTTTTGAGAATGAGATACAATAACCATTGTAAGAATACAGAACAAACACAAGGGACCAGATATATGTGTATGGTGAATACTGGATACTGACATCAAGCCTACCCGGGGTATACATGTATCTACATATTGTTGTTCCATGATTTGATTACAGGACATTTTTCACTACTCCATTTTCAACAATTTTCAATCAGTCTGATGTAGATTTATTCGAATGATGTGATATGTTGTCTATAGTGAACCGTGTTTAAACTGACTTCTGAGGACTTAGGTATTCCACGTAAAGCGGCATTTATTTACAGTCCAGTCATTCCCAACAAAATTAAGATGAATGATCTTTATTTGAACTCTGTCCTCTGCATCTTTCTGAGTACAGGTCCCAGTCACCAATTTCCTCCTTATATACAGTTACTTTATTGTTTCCTGACTTCCTCCTTATATACAGTTACTTTATTGTTTCCTGACTTCCTCCTTATATACAGTTATTTTTGTTTTGTTTCCTGACTTCCTCCTTATATACAGTTACTTTATTGTTTCCTGACTTCCTCCCTATATACAGTTACTTTATTGTTTCCTGACTTCCTCCTTATATACAGTTACTTTATTGTTTCCTGACTTCCTCCTTATATACAGTTACTTTATTGTTTCCTGACTTCCTCCTTATATACAGTTACTTTATTGGTTCCTGCCTTCCTCCTTGTATACAGTTACTTTATTGTTTCCTGACTTCCTCCTTATAAACAGTTACTTTATTGTTTCCTGACTTCCTCCTTATATGCAGTTACTTTATTGTTTCCTGACTTCCTCCTTATAAACAGTTACTTTATTGTTTCCTGACTTCCTCCTTATATACAGTTACTTTATTGTTTCCTGACTTCCTCCTTATATACAGTTACTTTATTGTTTCCTGACTTCCTCCTTATAAACAGTTACATTAATGTTTCCTGACTTCCTCCTTATATACAGTTACTTTATTGTTTCATGACTTCCTCCTTATATACAGTTACTTTATTGTTTCCTGACTTCCTCTTTATATAGTTATTTTATTGTTTCCTGACTTCCTCCTTATATACAGTTACTTTATTGTTTCCTGACTTCCTCCTTATATACAGTTACTTTATTGTTTCATGACTTCCTCCTTATATACAGTTACTTTATTGTTTCCTGACTTCCTCCTTATATACAGTTACTTTATTGTTTCCTGACTTCCTCCTTATATACAGTTACTTTATTGTTTCCTGACTTCCTCCTTATATACAGTTATTTTTGTTTTGCTTCCTGACTTCCTCCTTATATACAGTTACTTTATTGTTTCCTGACTTCCTCCTTATATAAGGGCGGTCGGGTAGCCTAGTGGTTAAAGCGTTCGCTCGTCACGCCGAAGACCCGGGTTCGATTCCCGACATGGGTACAATGTGTGAAGCCCATTTCTGGTGTCCCCCGTCGTGATATTGCTGGAATATTGCTAAAAGCGACGTTAAACCATACTCACTCACTCCTCCTTATACACAGTTACTTTATTGTTTCCTGACTTCCTCCTTATATACAGTTACTTTATTGTTTCCTGACTTCCTCCTTATATACAGTTATTTTTGTTTTGTTTCCTGACTTCCTCCTTATATACAGTTACTTTATTGTTTCCTGACTTCCTCCTTATATACAGTTACTTTATTGTTTCCTGACTTCCTCCTTATATACAGTTACTTTATTGTTTCCTGACTTCCTCCTTATAAACAGTTACTTTATTGTTTCCTGACTTCCTCCTTATATACAGTTACTTTATTGTTTCCTGACTTCCTCCTTATATACAGTTACTTTATTGTTTCCTGACTTCCTCCTTATATACAGTTACTGTATTGTTTCCTGACTTCCTCCTTATATACAGTTACTGTATTGTTTCCTGACTTCCTCCTTATATACAGTTACTTTATTGTTTCCTGACTTCCTCCTATTTACAGTTACTTTATTGTTTCCTGACTTCCTCCTTATATACAGTTACTTTATTGTTTCCTGACTTCCTCCTTATATACAGTTACTTTATTGTTTCCTGACTTCCTCCTTATATAGTTACTTTATTGTTTCCTGACTTCCTCTTTATATACAGTTACTTTATTGTTTCCTGACTTCCTCCTTATATACAGTTACTTTATTGTTTCCTGACTTCCTCCTTATATACAGTTACTTTATTGTTTCCTGACTTCCTCCTTATATAGTTACTTTATTGTTTCCTGACTTCCTCCTTATATACAGTTACTTTATTGTTTCCTGACTTCCTCTTTATATACAGTTACTTTATTGTTTCCTGACTTCCTCCTTATATAGTTACTTTATTGTTTCCTGACTTCCTCTTTATATACAGTTACTTTATTGTTTCCTGACTTCCTCCTTATATACAGTTACTTTATTGTTTCCTGACTTCCTCCTTATATACAGTTACTTTATTGTTTCCTGACTTCCTCCTTATATAGTTACTTTATTGTTTCCTGACTTCCTCCTTATATACAGTTACTTTATTGTTTCCTGACTTCCTCCTTATATACAGTTACTTTATTGTTTCCTGACTTCCTCTTTATATACAGTTACTTTATTGTTTCCTGACTTCCTCCTTATATACAGTTACTTTATTGTTTCCTGACTTCCTCCTTATATAGTTACTTTATTGTTTCCTGACAAGACGATTGCCAACTTCAGAGGATTGCTGTAACAATACATCACACAATAGCACAGTACCGGGTATTTCCTAAATTTGTTCTGGCTAGAAATCCGAAGTCGATATGACAAACGTTTTAAACATATACATGTATCATTTGGTTTCCAAAGTGGCATATGTTAACATGGGTCTTGAAATGAAAGATTATTCAAGCAGCTATGAACATGTACTATATATGTGTGTAAAATGGTCATTCTTTTTTGTATATTCTAGCATGTGAAATAATCATAAATTCTGTGCATATACGACAAAGCTTTCAATACCCTTGAAAGTTAGTAGGACCAGATTCGAATTTATCCTGTTTCATACGCTCCTTAATTTTCTGTCACAGGTAAATGGAAGATGCCATCCAAGGACTAATAGCTTGATTTAACAACTATAAAACAAGAATCGGGGGTAGAAAAGGTCTTTAGCAAAGCATGCTTGCCGAAAAAGGCGACAATGCTTGTTGTAAAAGGTGCTAATGGGAATGGATGGTCCTACCCTATTGACGGAGCAATGTGGGTAAAACACAGAGATATTTAAAAAATCCGAAAAAAACTCCAATCAGCCCTGGACGGGGTAGATCAATGGTGCAATAAATGGTGGTTCACCCTTTCAAGTGAAAAAGCTGTGGGAGTTCTATTCAAACGAAGGGGTAAAGATGCTACGATACCCCATCTCACCATAAAAGGCAAACAACATAAATTGGAAAACAGATGTCATAAAGACATAAACGTATTACGGGAAATGTCCGGCACATCTTGGGTTACCTTGAGGGAAACTCGGCTAGACCTCTACAAATCACTTATCAAATAAAAAAAAGACTATGGTTGTGAGGCGTTTTATTCAGCTTCAAATAGTGTTTTGAGCCGCCTCGACAGAATGCAATACGAAGCCCTAATGCTAACCACAGGTGCAGCAACAGGGTACTTGACTAGAAGCACTACAAGTAGAAACAGGAGAAATCCCATTGAAACTAAAAAGAGAGCAGGCAATATTAGTGTAGTAGTATAGGTAAGGGGGGTTCTACCGCAACTCCACTGGAGCCAGATTTATACCCCATTACCTACACTACAGGGGTAATTTTTTATGCAAAAACCGTGATGCGATTCAACAATCGTCATGAGACTAAACTAAATTGTAATGAAAATATTCTCTATTATTTTTACTCCTACGCATACCATTATTTTGAACAAAGTGATATTCAACATTTTTACTAAGTTCTTCCGTTCATTTTACTAGGAGAACAGACTGTATACTCTTCTTTGAAATTGGAAAGAAACAATTGATAACCATTTGGATGGTTTAACATCACTGAACTAGCCCACTCTATGGTTGTGTTTAACATGCCGCAGTTTAACATGAATACACCACTCAGAAACAGTATACTGAAGCCGAGCTGACCAGTCCTTGTTTTAGCCCTGTAATGCCGAACGCCAGACAGGGTAACAACAAGTACCATCTTTCAACGTCTTTTGGTATGACGCGGCTGGGGACCAAACCCCGGACCTTCCGCTCTCCGGGCGGTAGCTCGACCACTAGACCACAGAGGCCGAGGCAAGGGGGTTAACTGACTATGGAAGTCCCTTGCCGAACTAGACAGGAATTATGGAGCTATATTTTGGCAGGACTGACGAGTCTATGCATTGTCCAATAAAAAACGTGTAACGAAATCCAGTTTGTAAACTGCCGTCCAGATTTCGACATGTTGAAGGATTTTCAAAGCATTTATACCGACAACTTAGCATCAACAGATATTGATCTGATGCACTTTGCGAAACAAGACCAGTTTTATTACAACACAGCTCTTGATTATCGATCAGATAGCCTTCACTGGGCGACGCCACTTTATTTGAATTGATTGCTTGAGTATGGTTTTGTGCCACGTTTAGCAATGTTCCAGCAATATCACGGCAGGGACAACATAAATGGGTTCCACACACAATGCCAATGTGGGGAATCGAACCCGGGTCTTTGGCGTGACAAGCGAACGCTTTAACCACTAGGCTAGCCCACCAACTGCCCCATTTTATTTGAAGCAAATGAAAATGATATGAGAGGTGGAGAGGATTGGTCAATATGAGGGGCATACACATTAGCCCCCGGTGGCGCTACGCTCGAGCCCTAAAATTCCAGCCAACTTCGACAAAGGTGGAACCGGGACTTGCTTCGGGAAGATGAGCCAAGAGATGCAAAAGCGAGGGCCACACTAACACTATTTCTGAGAGATGGACAGGTCCTCGAACGTATATAAACAGAGCAACCAAAGATAAAAAATGCAATCATATCAAGACAT